TATATATATATATATATATATATATGAGGTATTGAGAATATATTAAAGAGAGACAATTATATTATTATACAAGAAGATGACATAAAAGATCTGACAAGAATATTTAAAAATAAACTAAACAAGGGACAACTATTTTAAGTAAACATTATTACATTATTACGTTTGATTATAATTATTATAGTTATACTGAATATTTTATAAAGAAAATTAGTAGAATGGACTTGTTATATTTTGTGTGTTTTTTTTTTTTTTGAGAGTACATGTACAATTAATTAATTAATTAATTAATTTAGGTTATTGAATTAGTACATTTCAAATGATAATAATATTACGTACAGGTTGTCTGCAAATAATGTGTCACGAGCAAATATGTTTGTGTTAGGTGGGATACAAAGGCAGATAGATTGAAAATAAAAGGAAAATAATAATTAAAAAAAAAAAAAAAACAAAACGGTACAAAAATGTAAAAAAATAATTATAGAAAATGCGAGATGATAATTCATAAAAAAAAAAATACACAAAAAAAAAGAAAAATATATATAATATACTACTTTCCAAAAAAAAAAAGAAAAAAAGATATATATTTCAGCTTTATCAACAAAAAAAAATACAAAAGATACAAAAAAAAAAAATGGTACAATTTAGCCTCCTCTGAACATAAATAAAAAAAAACTTTGAAGATTTATCAGCATATTTTAATAAAGCAAAATGAAAATAATCTTCTTTGATGGTGCTGGTGCTGCTGCTGCTACACTTTCAAAATGGTTTATATCAGAAAATATTTGTTAGGACCTTTTTTTGCCGATTATCCTGTACAAATGACTTTGACGTCGAAAAAAAAAACAAAATGAAATGAAACAATGATTGCATACGTGGGTGTATATTAAACTGTGAGAAAAATCCTATCGTGTATATAACAACAACAACAACAAAATAATCATACAAAATGATACTGTATCACATATTATAATAATATTATTTAAATGCCCAGTTAATTTGAAATATTATCATCAATAGAAATATATTTATATATTTATATATATATATATATATATTACATAAGATACTGATTTCTGATATATTAGGTCGAATCATAAATAATTTCCGATGCATTTATGTAGAATCACTCATTACCTACTATAAGTCACCGAAACAAACGAATTTTTGATATCACTGTATAAATGAAAATTCAGTTAATCTTCTGTCAACTTTTTTATGTAGTCATGTGACTATGTAGAATCTATTTTTCGTATTTACCTATTATAAGTTACCAAAACAAACAAATTTTTGATATCACTGTAAAAATGAGAATTTAGTTAGAGTCTTTTGTCAAATTTTGTATACAGTCAATGTTACATTTTAGTATATTACATACTTAGAGCGGTAAAGTAAGAAATGTATCAGAGTACATGTAATTGTTGACCTCGGACAACAAAGTGGCAACTTTGTTTTGCACAACGGGAGAAAAGTTGACACACTTTTCGTCTCGGACTGAAGAAAAGTGCATATTCAACATGTAATGCTTTAAAAATTGAAACAAAACAATAACACTAAAGTGACAATTGAAACAATATACAGCTTATACAGTGCAGGATTGATAACTGATAGAGAACAGTCAGAAATTGATTTGTAAAATTTCGTTCTGAAGATACAATCTTAAAAGATGAACCGATTGAAGGACCGTATTTCCAACTTTTGATGAACCTTTTAAAGGTAATATTGAAACAAAATCCAATAAAGTCACGTCCAACTGATACAAAGAGTAGACAAAAATTTCATGAAATGTGTCCTGCACTTATTAAGTGATAGAAGAAACATCATTGTTTGTCTCATAAAAAAAAAACGGAAATTATTTATGACTCGACCTAATATTACCTTCCATTGTGCTAATCAAAGAAATAAAACGTCGTATTTTTTTTAATACGATCGACGTCAAAGTCATACGATTAATAATAGTTATAAATACATTTGTTCATGATTTAATATATAAATATATATATATACATATACATACATACATACATACATATAATTTTATATCAGATTCCCCGTAAATATTTTTCAAAGGAATCTCACACACACTCTCTCTCTCTCTCTCTATCTATCTTTCTAAATAGAATTAGAAAAAAAAAAACAAGAAAACTTTGAATCTCCACGAATGTATATTAAAAAGTATTTCAATTATATTTATGTAAACTTCCAGTATATATATATATATATACACACACACACGACAGTATGTAAAACGACTTATCCTATTCTTTTTTTTATTTTATACTTTTTATTCACTTTTTTTATTCCTTTTTTGTTTTGTTTTGAACGTCTCCCCCGTCGTCCATTTTTTTTTTTTTTTTGTAAGAATTAACATGTATTTTGAAGTTTTATATTAACAGTGTTAGAATTGTGTCTGTAGTAACACATCAATGCTCGTATAAGAAGACAATTAATTTAACAGATCGAGAACGGAGTCAGATTTTTTACGTTAAACACGAACAGCGAGAAGTTAACGATTTATACAGGTGGTGTTTTTTTTTTTTTTATGTTTTATTTGTATCTCATTTTATATTTGTTTATTTGTAATGTTTATATTATTAATAATAATAGTAATAATAATAATAATAATAATATTTGTTATACAAAGTTGAAAACGTTATATTATAGAAATTAACAGATAATTATTATTATTCCTTCGCTTTGTTTTATGCAATTGAATATATATATATATGCATACATATATATAAATGTATATATATATGTGTGTATATATATGATATATGATATATATATATATATATATAAAATGTACGACTTATTATTGAATAGTATTCTCATCTCGTAAAAAAAGAAAAAACAAAAGATTGGATAACGCATGTTTAATTATTCGTAAAAAGAAGAAGAAAAAAAACTCTTTGAACAAATGTAAAACGCCGACTGATGATGAAACAAATTTGAAAGTTCGATGAAATATTTAGTTCATTTAACATGCGCTTTTTATCCGTCATCCGCATATTGTCACTGTATATTAAATTATTATAATTAAGATAAAATAATAATAATAATAATAATAATAATAATAACGATAACACACAATAATGTTTTCCTGATAATAATAAAAAAAAAAACAAGGAGAACAAATTGTGCACATACCAGAGAGAGAGGAGTATAAAATATTTGTCACACATACAACAATAATATTATTAACAACAAAATATTAATAATAATAATAAATCATCCGTCGTACTCTCTCTCCTCTCTCTCTCTCTCTCTCTCTCTCTCATTCTCATTTTAATTATTTTCTTTATAAAGTAGAACAATTTTATATAAAAGAAATTAACAACTATTTGTATTGTATCATCTGTCTTTCTCTCTCTCTCTCTCTCTCTCTCTCCTTTGTAGTATTTTTCTTTGTAAAGAGCAACGATTATTATTCAACAACAAAATAATAATAATTATTATTATTATTATGTTATTATATAACGCTAAGAGAGAAGAAGAAGAAGAAGAAGATGAAGAAGAAGAAAATTATTAATTAAAAACATTCGTTATGTAATTCGTAGACTTAATAATAATAATAATAATAATAATAATAATAATAATAATACATTTGTAATATTTAAGTTATTCGTTTTCCCGCGATTTTGAAATAATGCGCATTCCAAACGTACGTTCGTACAATATCTCTCCCATGTCAATGAAAAGAACAAAATAAATAAAGAAAACAAAAAAAAAAAGAGAAATAAATCAAATCTACAAACAAAATTATTATCATCATTATCATCATCATCATCATCATCATCACCATCATTATCTCGTCAAATTATTTTTTATACATGTCAAGTTAATTCTTACTAACAATTTTCGATACATACGCGTATTGACGCCAACGCAACAAAATTCCGCAAATGAGCCAACCTACACCTTAAATTGTTGCGACAAATCATAGAATAACAAAACTTTAATTCAAATTAATAAAACACAATTTCAAAATTCCAAATATTTTATTTATAAAAATGTAATCGACGTCAACTTCTCGCATCAGCAGTAAATGAATCTCGAGGCTGAACACAATGAAATTCTGCTTAACTCAAGCCAGTTGTCTTTTCTAAGTTCCACTTGTTAAACACACTGTCTTAAATTATATTTGCGAGACTTACGTTTACCAAAATAAAGTTTCACGTCATGGAAATTGGTACATTTTCGTTTGTTAGGTCAAATATTTCCCTCCTGAAATAATAAAATTGCATCTTCTTCTGTTTTTGACTAATTCCAAATACGAATTTTCGTAGCACTAAAAAATGACGCAACCCTGACGCAACTCTGACGAAACCCTGAAGAAACCCTGACGCAACTCTGACGAAACCATGACGAAAACCTAACGCAACCCTGACGGTTGTTGTGTACAACCAACAAGGTTATTGTATGCGAACAACAAGATTGTTCTTTATTGGCGCATTAGCGGAATTTTTGCTGAGGTGTCATGGCGTTAATACGTAAGTACCCAATTATCTTGATCTTTTATCAAATTTAATATAAAATATCCTATATGTTCATATCAAATGTAAACTTATATATATATATTAAAAAAAAAACAATAATTCTAATATACACCCCCATTATTTTCTTATCTTACAAGTTAAAACATATGCAAATGTCAAAGAATTAGAAAGAAAATCTAATGACCAAACAATTAATCAAATTAATATACAGACACAAACACACACGTTTTCAAATCCCACTAAAGAATTAACTAAACAAAAAAATAAGAAGAAAGAAAAAAAGAGGGGATCATTTAAAGGCTCGTTTGTAATCAGTTTCGAATAGGAGGCGTGTAGGGGGTGGGTGATGTTAGAAAGTAGGAGGGTGCACAACAGTAGTCGTAGAAAGAAAAAAAAAACGAATAAATCTTAGTTCTGTCCTCAGATCGTATCTACGACCCCCTGCAGCCTTTTTCACGGCTCTACCTCCTCGTTATATTCTCTTCGCCTTTTTGAGAAGAGGGGTAGAAGTAGAAGTAGAAGTAGTAGAAGAAGAAGAAGAAGGACAAAAAGAAACAGATAAAAAAGAAAACAAGAAGAAGAAGAAGAAATTGGAAAAGAGGGGAGTTGTGTGTTGCATGCAACAGTGGTGGTGGTGGTAAGAGGGATACCAACAGAAGCTTGAGACAGTCGTGCGGACAGAAGTCGAGCGAGATGTGACCGATAATGTAATTATGCGGGACAGGTTTTTTGTGCCGGTACTCTAACTTGATCTCCAGAGAACAGCCGTTCTCTCTCCCCCATCCCATCATGCCCACCCCCTCTTCCCACTCTCTCCGCCTCACCATCAGCACAACCATATTTCTCTTCTCTTCTCTTCTCATATATACATATATATGTTCTTTATCTTCTTCTTTCTTTCAACCACCACCACCACCACCACCATCACACAACCATCACAACTACCACCACTACCACTTTGGAGTGTTTTCTGCGCATAGAAATCGACGAAGATAAAAAGGGAGCGTTTATCGAAAGAGAGAAACAGGATTAAAATGAGAGTATATATCCTTGGCTCTTTACGAGAATGGATACAAAAAGAAGAACAAAAACAAAAAAGAAATACATTGTTTAAACCACGATCCATTGCTCGTTCGTCATCATCTCACGTAGAAGAAGTTAATTCTATCGGTTATAATATACTTTTTAACTCGTCATAATAATAATCATAATAATCGTAATATTTCTTTTGACGTTTATGGGAAAGGCGGAGAATTTATATTACATACATTTATATATTAAACTTAATGTATATTATTATACAGTACTTATCTGTCTATTTTTATGAATGTAGATTTATTAAAAATGAAAAGTGTGATGGTTTCAATTGAAAGAACTGTGATACAAGATTTGTACGTTTGTTGGTCTCCCAAGAGAGAGAGAGGGGGGGGGGAGTCCTTTTGAAAATCATTCCCAATTTAATTGGCCCCATGAGCAAGTAACAAAATATTGTTGATCTATTGAATAAATCTGACAATCCCTGGGGCTTTTGACATGATCCATCAGAAGGATCTTCTTCTTTCCCTATCCCTTTTCATCTTCTTCTTCACCTTTATTCTCTTCTTTTCTCAGCAAAAGATGACGATGTGTACAAATGTTACTATAATACGTTGTTAATATCGACATTATATATATCTTTTTCGTTCTTTTTTCTTCTTCTTCTTCTTCTTCTTCTTATTACGATGTTTACAGATCGTAAATAAACGTAAAATTTCAATTTGAGTAAATAATTTTTCACGGCTCCTAATTTTAACGAGCATCTCGAAGAAATACAAAGGACATAAAAAAAAAAAAAACACCTTCTCGTTTCTTGAAAGGGGCATAAGGCAGCAGCAGCAGCAGCAGCAGCAGCAAGCAGCGATGATGATTCTTTCAAAATTGTTCCTCCTTTCATCAAAATTTCACTCCACGCCTACCCAATTCGCTACAAATCCTGAAAAAGAAAAGAAAATAAAAGAAAAAAAGTGTAAAGGGGATGATGATGAAGAATAAGAATAAGAAGAAGAAGAAGTTTAAACGGCAAGAAATGCAGAAGGGTCGACAATGGACCATTTGTTAAGATGACCAACCATTCGAATGTCAAAATACAATGGCCACTATTATTGGCTATTCATTGAACATGCTTCTTTCGATCGTTTGCTCTCATAGAGACAGAGTGTGAGAGAAAAAGAGAGAAAGAGAGAGAGAGAGAGAGAGAGAGTGAAAGAAGAGATTCGATACAATCTTAACTGTTTTCTACGGATACTGACTGACTGAGACGTGGAGATTTACTTCTAACAAGGAATGATGTCTATTTTATCTTCAAAACCTTCTGACCTGTCTATCCAAAATTCAAATAAATCGAAATATATTCGATAATAAATCTTTTCCTCGCTTATAACACGATGCATATCATCTCTCTGCCTGATGTTCCTGATATTCTACAACATAGTTTTCCTTGTGTTTTTTTTTCTTTTTACTTCAATTTTTCTTATTTACAAAATATATTTCATTTGTATTACTTGTAAGTACCATAACGATGAGATTTACGATCAAGTTTTTCAATGAAAAAAAAAGAAAGAACGTTCATATTTTTGTTGATTGTATTTCTGTAATAATAATTTGGAAATATATAATAAAATATATTATTTGTTATATCGAAAGACAAGAGAGAGAGAGAGAGAGAGAGAGAGAGAGGTGGGTTTTATCTCGAAGCACCTGTAGTAGAATCCATCGGAGACGAGGACTTGGCAACAAAGCAATTCGTGACTTCTTCTCTTTTCTTTGCACACGATTCTCAACTTCTTCTTCACGCACGCACCTATACCGGTATATTGGAATCAAGAACATTGTAGTCGCGATCGAAGGCATCCATCTGTAAGATTACCTTCGAATTAACTTTAAAGGATCTATCATCTCACTGAAGACGAAGTAGGTTGTTCTCATGTTCTTTTTTTTGGGTAGACTAGAAGAGAGAGAGAGAGAGAGAGAGAGAGAGAGATGAGGGTTTCATAAAGATAGATTGAGATTGTTCGATAACAAGGATAATACACAACGATTATTTCGCTAGATCATTGCCAATACCTGTTGTCGTTGTCGTCGTCGTCGTCGTCGTCATGGTTGTTGACCATGCATTATGATTAATGAATAACTTTTAATTTTGATTACAATGACGAATATTGTATTCATTGAATTCTATTACTATGAAAATTAAAATGACAAATATTAGAAAAATGATGAAATATCATTTTATCATCCTTCGTTTGTATTTGAACAAAAGTGTTTCTCGTAGTATCTTTCTCTTCTTCTTCTTCTTCTTCTTCTTCATCATCATCATCTTCATCCTTCATTCTTCATCTTCTTGTATTTTCCATCAAGGCGCGAAAAATGTTCGCGGTTTTGCGAGACCACGCAACACCGACGGAGTGTAAAATCGGTGCATGTCTCCTACTACGTGGAAGAGCATCTCGTCTAACAAGCCAGCCTTTATAACGGCTCGTGAAACGACCGTGGAAACGTTCAGTTAGTTGTACCGGACAAGGAAGAGGACGTGAACAAGAAGAAGAAGAAGAAGAAGAAGAAGAAGAGAAATCTCTCTTTGAAGAGACAGACAGGACAAAGTGCACCGTTGAAAATAATTTCTCTTCTGAGGTTGTGTGTATGTGTGTGTGTGTGTCTGTTACGTTCTTCTCGCACGAGTAATAGATTTATTACTTTTAATGGAGAAAGATATACGTAAATACACTCGTCATATATTTAATGCAATTAAATTTTATGATAATTATAGGATCCATTCATTAAATTTAAATTGCTTGAAGATAATCATTTGGAGATTTAAGTAATGCAAGAAAAATCCTTTAGTGAATCTGAAAAAAAGAACATATTTTCAATTTATTTATATTATATTGCAGATGTGTATATATATATATATATATATAAAAGGAAAAAAAGAGAATAGAAAATAAAAGCGGAAGAGCGAGAAAGACTACTACTAAAGGAAGGTTCGGACGAAACAACGTTAAAAACTGGTTTCCTCTTACCGATTTCTTTTCATTTTATTTGTTATTTCAAATTCTGAATTTCCATGTATTCTCAAGTGATCTTTCGGAAACGAAAGGATTAACCATCGTCGAATAATGCTCGTAAAATATAATACATCATAAAAGGTACATCTGCTATATTCCTTCTAGGTCTTATTGCATATGTGTAAGTTGTGGTATCCAATCAAAATTATCTCGTCTTCTTGATGGCTAATCATTTAAGACTTCAACATAACACAATTTAACTATATTTATATTTCTTAAATGTTAAATCAATATAACTATCGTCATCGTTATTTTAAATATTTGTAAAAGAATTAAATAGATGAAAGATTAACAATGAACAACTATTAAAGAGAAAAAGACGTGAGAATTTTCGGCAAGCTCACTTATATTAAATATAATTTCGGCGTTAATTTGCCACGCCATCATTCTCTCTACACATACACACACACACACACCATCACCATGTGCAAATGCACATAACAACGTACGTACACATGCGTATATTACATATACACAAGGAAGGATTCGTACGTCGACCCTTTAAGTTCGTGTCTGCCTCGTCTTCTTCTTCGTCGTCGTCGTCTACAGACGACCTCTAATTGTAAGATGCAAATTGGACTTGTCTCTTTAGAACATATCTCATCTCTAAGTGTAAACTAAGAGGAGACTAAGAGAGAAACGATTCTTCCTAAGTTTATATTTGCAAAAGAAAAAGATCAGTGTGCGTGCTCCCTAATTCTGCATGCGTTGCGTATGTGAAGAAGAAGAAGAAGAAGAAGAAGAAGAAGAAGAAGAAGAAGAGGAAGGCTACATGAGAGACCAAGAGTTAAGAGATAGAAAAAGAAAACTAAAAAGAGAAAGAGAAAGAGAGAGTAGTTCGTAAAGAGATAGGGATCTCTTACGGGTCCAATGGTGAGAAGGGAAGAGAAGAGGAGAAGATGGAATCGCCGCTCCACCATAACCACCACCATCACCATCACCACCACCACCACCACCACCACTACTACTACCACTTCACCACCGCAGCCGCAGCTGCCAGGTCTTTTTTCCATTGACTCGGTCAGTCAGTCAGTCAGTCGGCGACTGCGATGCGATTCGACACGTTCAATTTTGAAATATCGCGAAATGTCCACTCGCATAAGTTTGTATCCGTGCATAGATCCGTATCATCGATAATACTGTGCCTATCGATCGATCAAGATACATCGTGAAAGATCGTGATAGATCGTCAAACATCGGACCTACTTTGTTATTTGTTTTTTTTTTCTTGTTTTGTTATTATTATTATTATTATTATTATTATTATTATTATTATTATTATTTAATCAAGATTTTTTTATCGAGAGAGATAAACGGGGGAATATAATCTCAACGAAAAAATCTAAAAGAAAAAAAAAAAAAACAATTTAAATAAAAGTAAGAAAAGTAAGAGAAAGAAAGAGAGAGAGAGAGAGAGAGTTTGTTCGAAAGATAAAAGAAAGAGAGAGAGTATTTGAGAAAAGAAGATCGTTATCATCTAACAAGATAATCTTATTGAAGTGGCGGCCGGTTCCACACCCGTGAAAAGCCCATTTCACGCGGCGAATCGAGGCGCGCGGGCGCGCGCGCGCCTGTGACGACGGGGGCGGCAACGACGGACCACGACCACGACCACGACCACGACCACGACTACTACCACTACTACTACTACTACACAATCACAACGGATCAACATAATCGTTATCATCGTTATACGATCGCAACAGAGAGAACAACGTCTCGACAAGAAAGGAGAAAGCACGCTCGCGCGCGTACCTACGTACGTGTGTGTGTGTGTGTATGCGTACGTGCGTGCGTGAGTCGCGTGCGGGCGGGCTCAAAAGGGGGAACGGCAGGACAAGGGTGAAGAAGGTGAAGAATTTAGGAAAGGCGCGTTGAACACCTGATCAAACGAAAGAGCCCTTAGGAGGAACACTTCATAAATGATTATGCGGTGGGCGACAGCAGCCCTTAGTTTGGCGGTGATCGCTTCATTTATCGACACTACCATTGCTAGAAATCATAAAAATCGTCGTACCAATAATGGTCAAAAACAAACTGGTGATATATCGCTTTGGATTGATCAACAGCAAATCAAAATGTTCAGTGGTGAGCAGCTACAACTTATATTTTTATTATCTAAAAAGATTAAATTGGATTTTTTTTTATTTTAAAATACGAGTTATAGATTATTGTATTAAAAGACAATTAGTTTGTTTCTTTATTTTTTTTTTTTAATCGTATTTTTCTTGGATTATTGTTTGTTGGATCAAAATTACACAACTACTTCGAAAATAATGTTTTGTTAAGTTTATGAATGTGTTCTAAAAAAAAACTAAGATTTCTTACGCGTTAATCATTTTTACGTACGAAAGTAATTTATGATGATAATATATTATGCTGAATGGGCATTGAAATCACGCAAATATGTTTGCATATGTTTTACTACGCAATGCTAAGTAGATAAGAAATTAAAGTCAGTGATTTCAATGCCTCTTATACAGAACGGTTTACGGTATTATTACATCGATCCTTTTTTTTTTTGAATCTACGATTTGTTTTTTTGTTTTCTTTACAATCATGTGTTGCCAACGTTATAATATAAATATTATATTTTGATTAGGTATTGAAATGGAGATCTATGTGATCTCGGAGGGAATTGTTTTATCATACCTTTTGGATCCAGAACTTGAAAATAAATTGCCAATTATTCCTAGCGAAGTATCATACGTAAATTTTACATGGAAATCTGGCGTGAAAAAATATTATTATAACTTTTATCGATTGAAATCTTTCGACGAATCGATTCTCAAGACACCATCGATTACGATTAAAACTCAAGGACGAGTACCTAAAAGAGCAAAAGGTATAAACATCATAATATTTATTGTAAGTATGATATATATTTAAATAATGATTTTTTTTCTACGTTATTACAGAATTTAGCGTTTTATTACCTTGTACTGGAAATAATTCTGGAATAGCACAATTTGGAATTGGTTTAATGATCGAAACGCGGAAAGGTAAACCTTTGGATGGAACACCACTTCATCTTAGCTTAAGAAAAGAATGCAATTTGCGTGGTAAGTTAATTAAATACATTTGAATTTTCTATTTCATTTATATATATATAAAAATAAAAAAAATTAATTAATCATTTTTTTTTTCTCGTATCCGTTCTCTACAAATTTATGAATTTTTTTCTTTCAATTTTAGAACCAAATCCTGGACCTTGTCCGGATGGTTATTTGGGCCCGCCGCATTGTAAAAAAGCACTTTGTTATCCAAATTGTATGAACGGCGGAAACTGTACTGCACCCGGCGTATGTTCGTGTCCTCCAGGATTTCAAGGACCTTATTGCGAAGGAGGTATGCAAATTTTTACTAACTTTAATCTAAGAATTATTAAAAAAAAACAAAGTTTATTTTAAACGAACGTCAAGTAATATTTAAATAACAAATACTTAGGTCTACTATCACATCATTCGAATAGATTAATATAATTTATGCTACTTTAGAAATGGAAATGGCAGTTTTACAGCCTATTTTAATAATATTCGTAAGAGCTTGATAAAAAGGAGCTTGTTCAGCTCCATGTTCTAATCCATTATCGTGGTGCTCTTGTTCCTCATCACGAATAGTTTTAATTGTTTCTAATAATTCTTTGTCTATCCCATCATTAGCTTCCATTAAATTACGTAATTGATCGTTATAATGTTCTATTACGACAGTTTCAACAGCCACGGTACACGCCATAGCTGCTTTTTCTCCCATCAATGCTGTCCCAGCACCAAGAACAAATCCAGCAATATTCCAAATAGGTGTAAATACCGTAGGTCGCGCACGATGTTTACGCATTAATTCTTCAAACTTAGCACGATGCTTTTTCTCCTGATCCCACATATGCTGAATCAATGGACCCTTTACAGTATTACCTATTTTAAGTATAATGATTGAAATAATATACGTTGAGATAGATAGATAGTATAGTTTGTCAAAAGTCTTCCTATATACCCAAAACAGCCATTTGCCCTGCATAAATTCTATCGGCTCCCAATTCTCCAGCATGATCTACTCTTAGAATAGAATCTAAACGTTTTCCTGCCTCAGTGGTCGAAGTTGCAGCAGCCGTACTATGTAATCTTATTCCAAATTGACGAAGACGCAGCATTGTCTTTATCGATATCAACAATATTCTGAAAACAATTAACATCGAATAATATCCTATGCTTAATTGTAATATAATAAGACATAAATAGGGTTTAATAATAATAAAAAAAAAGAGATGAATATTTATCATTTATATTTCTTTCAGGTATTTGTTCGGAAAAATGTTTGAACGGTGGAAAATGCGTACAAAAAGATACTTGCGAGTGTACAAAAGGTTACTTTGGTTTACGTTGTGAGTTCTGTAAGTAATTTTTTTTCTTCAATTTTATACAACTAATTATATTCGTATACCATTTACAATGATTATTAAAATTGAATAATTATTTGTATTTAGCGAAATGCGTTATTCCTTGTTTGAATGGAGGTAAATGTAGAGGAACCAATGTATGTCGATGTCCTAGTGGATTTACAGGCAATCATTGTGAAATAGGTAGACGTTCACCACAACGATCAACTTGCACAAAAGCTTGCAGAAATGGAACTTGTCAACCTGATAACACTTGTCATTGCGATCCTGGATGGTTTGGAAAATTATGTAATAAAAATAAGCCATGGGCTTAAAGATATTTTTGTCGACAGTGGTATTATTTTCATAACTAATTGGATTGACTAAACTATTGACGTTTATTTCAAAATATTGAGAGAAAGTAAAATATAAAGTTTCATATTTTGTTACATAAATATATATGAAACAAATTTGAAAATAAAGAAAAGATGATAAAATGTGCAAAGAGATGATTCATAATCCAATTGGTTAATACCACAAAATATCAATGCGTTTAGTTTGTAATTCATCCCAACTGAGATGTGATATGTAAAATTGCCTGACAGCAATTTAAGCTATTAATTATTATTTTTAATAATATACTTTTATATTGTTATATTTGTAGCTATGACTGTAAAAAGGAATAAAACGAGTTTTATCGACCTTTTAAATGTGCACACTCTTTAAAGATTTTTGGTTTTTTTTTTTTTCTAGAAATATCACTCAATACAAAAAATCACTCTATCACTAAACAAAACCAAATAATATGCACTATTTCAATAGAAACTTTAAAACAAAACAAAAACGTTAACAAATTATCGAATATTTCAATAAAAGCAAGCTTTAAACAATGAAGTATTTGTTGATGTACACACTTTATAAATATGACATGTCGATTAGAATAACCTTAAACTTTCAGATACTACGCTAATAGAAATTCCACAAACTTGCATTTACGAACACCTTTATGAATAAAGAAATAGAAACGAATATGACAGATATAAGAATAATATTTAAAATAAATGAAATAATACCGTAGAACGTGTAAATATTAGACGCACAAAAACACATTTGTAGGTTATACACGACGCAATTGAACAGCGGAAGAAAGAGAGATGACATCGTTTCAGGAAATAGAGAAGAGACGTAGTCACGTGTTTCAGGCACCAATGAGAATTTAGATACGCTGGCCGCCATGACGTATATCGCGTAGCTTCGAACCAATCGCTTTATTCTAGATTCGTATACATGTATATGGTGTTCACGTTTCGAGGAACAGCAGTGTCAATTGATGGAATCTAACGGGAAAACGGTGAGTGTCGAGTCAAAATTCAGGAGAAAACGTAACGTAAGTTGTCAGTGCGCAGCGCGAGGATGGCGATGCAACGCGCATTCGCGAAATAAAGGTAAATTTTGCATCGTCTGCTTGGAGTGCAGCGCGCAGGCTCGCTCAAGATGGCCGCCCTCCTCGATGCTGGCGCGTTCTTTCCTTCTCCCTCATGTGTATACGACATTCGTATTATTACGCTACTCTCGTGTGTCCTTATGAGTGAGCAATCAAAAAAAGAGAAAGCAAACAGGCAGGCAGACGGGCAGCAAAAGAGACGAGAGAAATAAAAATAAAAAAAAAAAAAAATAAAAATAAAAAAGGGAAAGAAAGGTTGTGGTGGAGGAGAAGGTGGAGTAGGAGGAAGAGTGTAGGTAGCGACGACGGCGGCAGCTACGGAGACAGGAGCAGCAGCGAAGGCGGCGAACCGATCGATAAGTCTGTCGACGACGACGCTGCCGCCGCCGCCGCTGCCACCACCGTTGCCACCACCGCCGCCGCCGCCGCCACCGTCGAAACTAGCCATGGTGTCCATGGCGGTCGTCGTGCGCGTTGTTGTGGCGCGGAGCGACGAAGAAGGCGCGAGTAATAGCGAGGACGAAAGGTGGTGGTGAGAAGGTAGAGAGGAAGGAGGAGATTTTCGCGCGCGCGGCCGAGTTAGGCTTCTCCCGGATCCGGCGCGTCCGGTGGCCCTTTTACTCCTTGTCGTTGTCATCGTAGTTCGCGCTTCTATCGAAGTTTTGTTGTCACGGAGAGCAGCGCGCAGTGCACGCGTAGAATCGCAGAGATAACGATAACGACGACAAGAAGGAATACAAGGACGACGACGACAACGACGAAGACGTCGACGACGACGACGACGACGACGACGACGACGATGACCGCTGAGATACGCTCGCGTGGGGCGTGGTGGTGGTGGTGGTGGTGGTGCTGAGAGAGAGAGCGTGTGCGGTTATAAACCCGCGACGGCGGTCTCCCCGCAGACGCGAAGCGCCCTGTGTAACACCGGGTGACCACTCACGGGACACACAAGGTGCGTACGCAACTCGCGATTTTCACTGGGCCTGCTCCATGACTCTCCTCGCGATACCCTTCTCTTCGGTCATGAGCTTGACGGCCCCCCCGACACGGTGCTCTCTCTTTTGCGTGTGCCCTGCGCATTTTCATTTGCCCCCCCAAAATAAACGCGCCGTCTTAGCGGTGTCGGCTTTTGGCGCATCCTCTCTGCTCTCTCTCTCTCTCTCTCTTCTCCTCTTTTTCTACTATGTTATTTTCCACTTCATCCTCTTCCCATACTCTATTCTTGCTGTTGCTGCCGTTGCCGCTGCTGCTGTTGCTGCTGCTGCTTTTATTGTGTCGTTGCTTTGACGTTACCACTGTCATCGTTGTTCCTAAACCTACCGTTACACGCGTCTTCTTATTTCGTATATTCTCCATGTGAAACAATCTATACCTCTCTACTCTTTCCCTCTTTCATTTCCCTTTTAATCTATTTCTCTTTATCATTCTCTTTCTACTACGTCATTTCATTGACATTCTCTTCTGTCAACTTTAAAACGCGCCACACTTCACTCTCGATTATGACAAATCTTGAAAAAGGATACAGAAAAAACAATCGTTATATATCTCCTGTATACATTCTAATCTTTTATCAATTGATGATAACAAAAACCTATAACCATATATTTCTATTCATTTTTATGAAATATTTAACATTTCTCGTATCTAACGTTCACGTAAAAATGCGCACAAAAATATTCAAAGAAGCAAGCAAGAAAGCTAAATATTTACAGCTTTTCTTTCCCTCTCTTCTTCATCTTCATCTTCTTCTTCATCTTCTTCATCTTCCTCCTCCTCTTTCTATTATTTTCACATGTTCGTATCTACATCGTAAGTTCATTTGGCACCTCTATGAGAAAAACAAATGAAGGTATTCAAAAAGAAAACAAAAAAATCATTCATCATTGAATAAACTTCAATGTATTATATTTCATGTAAAAATAACCAACCAAATTTGAGCTTTCTCTTTTTTTTTTTATAAATCGATGTATACCCACTCGTTGTTGTATGTTCCTCTGTACTTTGAAACGAATGACGTTCACTTTATCGATTTTTCGTCTTCCCAACGCAAATAGACGTACAAGTTTAGTATTTCAAACTTCATAATTCTTGTCATATATGTTGGTGGGGTGCGTGTCCTTTTTTTTTTCCTTTTTTCTTTTTTAATATGTTATATTAACTTGTCTTTTGTTTTCTTCCTTTTTTTATTTTTATTTTTATTTTTTTTTCAATTGTTTTCCGTGCATCAGGGGGATTAGGAATATATTTGTTTGAGATCTATAAAACTGTATAATATCATTCATAAACTCCTCGTGTGCTAGTTAGTAAGTCATTTACAAATTTTATTTTTATTATTATAATATTAAAAAAAAAAAAAATAATTGTCTGATTAAATAATAATATTGTTATAACAATTATTTATTTATTTATTTTTTTTTAATATTGAAACTATTTTGCATACTAAATATCGTTGATTTCATTGATGTTTTTAATATTTGAATTATACAATGGCTACTATTAATTTCAAATTGTTTTGAAATAACTTGATGATTGCACACACACACATACACACACATTTCATTGATAAAATGAAATATTATTATTGTATTTTCTATAGTCATTGTTATCATCTCTCTGTACGTGTATGTTGTTTCTTTTCTCTTTTTTTTTTTATTTCATTAATTCTTCACATATATGGTATGTTAATAATATTTTTAGTATGTTAAAATATGTGATGAAGTATTATTGTATGTGTTTGTTATTGCAAATAAATAGAAATAAATGAATACCATGAAGCTGTTAATTCTTTACATAGATTGTAATATTAACATAAGATTCCTTGTTAACAAACAAAAAAAAAAATATATATATATAAATACATTCAAAAGGAGAAAAATAAGAAACATTATTTTAATGAAATAATACATCAATGTATTTGAAACTTTCATTTGATATTAATGAAATTGAAATCAAATGTTATTATTATTATCTGACTACAAAATTAAATACTACTTACATTTCATTTATCTAAAAATATATATATAATAATCATGGTAATTCCAATTATATTAATATATATATATATCCAATTTATTCACATTTACTCATATGTATATATACATTAAATATTAATTGAAAATTTGTTTAATCTGTTAGGGATAAGGTGATGTAAAAAAGAATATCTAAGGATCTACAAATCTAAAACACTTGTTGGGCCATTGCAATATATATATATATATAAAACAAACAAAAACAAAAACAAAAAAAAGCCAAGAAAAAAAAAAAAAAGTCAAAACGGGTGACCAAGAAAAAAAGATGGTTTCTCTGCCAAATGCAGAGTCTGGCACGATGGACAGAATTTCTGATGACGATGACGAGGAACCAAGTAGTGGGTCTGAAACATATGAAGAGGGTGATCTTCTTACAGCGGCTATGGACGATGATGTGACAGCCCAACTAGCAGCAGCAGGTTGGCATATCAAAAACGCTAATGGTGATTTCCATTTTTTTGCTTTATCACCTCTTGAGTTTATATACGGCTTTAATATCACTTCCATTTGCAAGTTTTAAACGCAACACAAAACAACGTTCATCCATTGACTGTGGAACCCTAAACGTGGAATAAGCGCGATGAACGTGTAAGATGATACAAGAGATTATTCTCTTTAAAGAGTCTCAGAAAAAAAGAAAAAACAAACAAATTACAAAAAATATTAGTAACAAAGAAAATCTGGAAACTGTCTATTAGAAAAGTATTTGATTTTACAATACTATCATTCATTTTTATTATTTCATTGTTTAAATATATATTTCACGTATTATATTTTCAATTATTCAACAAGTGCATAGTGATTTTTTCAATTTTATAATTAATATTGATATATATATATATTTTGTTTTCATTTATAAATTATATATGAAAAAAGAAATATATATATATTTATATTATTAATAATTTAAAATCGCTACATAGAGAGATCTTCTGAATAATAAAATATATATATATATATATGTATATACATTTTCTGCTATATCAAAGGTAAATATGTTTTCTATCGTAACAATCCATATCATTACATTATTATTTGAATTATTCATAAATAATTAACAATCTTTAATAACACTCTTTGTGTACTTTCAATCTAATTATTATATCTTTTTATTAAATAATAATTCTATTTATTAAAAGTAAATGAAAAAAAAAAAAAAGAAAAAAAAACATAAATAATATAATTGACTATCTTACAAGACTCTTTCCGGAGTGTGGTGGGTGGTATAGGTCATAAAAGTATAGCAAAGATAAAAAACAATAAAAAATTTGAAATGATGTATGCAAGTGGAGCCTGTCTTGTCAATGATGATTTTAATAATTATTGAATTTGTGTACATTATTAATTAATAACAAAATGTCTCTTTAAAAAATGATCAAGAGAAGAGACAATGAAAAATTCATTCATTGACAGAACAGTATGATATAGTCATATTTTATTATTTTTTTTTTTTATTTTATTTAATTTCATTATTATTATCATTATTATTATATATTTTATTTTATTTTTATTTTTCTTTTTCTTGCGTGCATCTATTACTTTTTAATTTACGCCTTTTTTCTCTTATATTATCAGAATGTGCTTCGTTTTGTTTAACATATGCAAACAAAAACAAACAAACATATTATTTTATTCTTTTGTTTATTGATCGTTGTCCTCTTATGTTTTTTTATATAATTATTATCATTTATATTGTTGCTAAAATTTATTATACAATACTTTTACATGTAGTATGACACATAAGTATTTCAAAAAAAAAAAACAAAACAATATTCAACAAATTTGATTTGTTTCTCAAACAAAATAATCTTAGAATACTCGTTTTTTTTTTTTTTTTTTTTATAGACACAATTGAATTTAGATTGTAGTAACTTTGTTGTCAATAATTGTTTTCTCTATTTTTTTTTTTTTATTTCTTTTTTTTTTTTTATTTACATTAAAAATAAATCACGTATAATTATGTAGTATAAAGAAAAAAATTTTCTTAGAATTTTCAGCACGTTTTATATTACTATTGCTTACTTATGCATCTACTTTTTAGTTTGAATGCACTACATGTTATATACGTGTTTAATAATATTATGTCAATATATAATAAATGCAATGAAAATTAATCTCTAATAATAACTTTGATCAAAATATTGTGTAAAAAAAAAAAAAGAAAAAAGTTGTTTAACATTTTATATTGACATACACATGAGTTTTATATGTGTAAATAAAAATCATCATGAAATATCAACATTTTGTATGAAAAACGAATTAATCGTTTCTCTAGGACCTGTTGGAGTAGCAGCAGCTGCTGCTATAGTTTCAGCAAAAAAAAGAAAACGACCTCATAGCTTTGAGACTAATCCCAGTACAAGAAAAAGACAACAGAACAGACTTTTACGAAAACTTAGAGTAAGATAATTTTATCAATTAATAATCATGTGTTATATATTATATTATTTGGATATTATTAAATAATGAAATATTTCTTTTACAGCAAACAATAGATGAATTTGCAACGCGTGTCGGGCAACAAGCAGTAGTATTAGTAGCTACTCCAGGCAAGCCAAATAGTAGCTACAAAGTTTTTGGAGCTAAGCCATTAGAGGATGTAGTTAAAAATTTAAGAAATGTTATAATGGAGGAACTTGAAAGTGCGTTAGCACAACAAGCTCCACCTCCTGTACAGGATGATCCATCTTTATATGAATTACCACCGCTTATAATAGATGGAATTCCAACGCCTGTAGAAAAGATGACCCAAGCTCAATTAAGAGCATTCATACCATTAATGTTAAAGTATTCTACAGGTAGAGGTAAACCTGGTTGGGGAAGGGATAGTACGCGACCTCCTTGGTGGCCAAAAGAGTTACCTTGGGCAAATGTTCGTATGGATGCACGTTCCGAGGATGATAAACAAAAAGTTTGTATTTAATATATTTAGATATATATATATATATATATATATTAACATAATAATTATTCATCAATTCAATGAAATATGATTCATTTTGTTTCTTTATATTATTGTAGATCTCTTGGACACATGCTTTAAGACAAATAGTAATAAATTGCTATAAATTTCATGGAAGAGAAGATCTTCTGCCAGCGTTTAGTGAAGAAGATGATAAATCAACTGTATTATTACAACAGTCAACTCCTCATTCCTCGTCACATCCTTCGCATTCGTCTAATCAAAGTCAAAGTGGACAGTCGCAACAACAACAACAACAGACGGTGGGAGTTGTTCGTCTGACCAGCACGGATTCATCTAAGGGAAACTCTTCGCCAGCACAAATCATTGCCGCATCTCCCACAGCTCTTGCCACTGCCACTCAGGTGGGAGTGGATAGAGTGTATCAAAGAAAAAGGAATTATATTTCCAAGCAACACGATAGAAAAAAAAAAACAAAAAACATTTTCATTATTATATTACATAATAACTGTTTTCAAAGAATTTCAAATTTGAATTGAATTGAATTGAAGAATTGTTAAATTATTATATTTTAATTAATCGCATTGCTTGTCGTTCATCGTGTTGTTTCTTTAAATTCCTCATTCTATTTAGGAGATAAAAGAAATGAAGATTGATGATATATTTCTTTTACGCGGATATGCCATGTTTTTGTTGTACACGTGTTTGGTTTCCCTTATTTGAGTTTAATCAGTTTATTTCTATATTTTTGTCGTCTTATTAAAATCGATCAAAGTTATGCTCGTTAAATCTCAAATTTTATAAATAACTATATATAATTAACCTTTGCTTACCACACTTAGTCCAAAGGACCCAGACCTTTTTTTGCAACTTTAGTCACTCGAGTCATTTTTCTCAAATTGTTCAACTTTGATCATTTTTTTTCAACATATTTCAATTTAATTGAAAACTATAAAACTTATATAGTCTTTTGAAGTAAGTATTAAAGAAGTCTCCAAAAAAATATTGAAGTAAATCTATGCAATAGTTTTTTTTTTTTTTATAACAATTTTTGTGTTACTCCTCCAGGAAGGGTGGTAAGCAAAGGTTAAATTAAAATAAAGGAAAAATTTCCAAATGATCTATGTTATAATACAAACTATTATATTACAGATGACGACACAATATCCAACAGCAGTGTTGCAGACAATAACGAATCCTGATGGTACAGTGTCCATAATCCAAGTAGACCCAAGTAATCCTATCATAACGTTACCAGATGGTACAACAGCTCAAGTTCAAGGCGTAGCTACTGTAAGTTAAATACAATGATTTATTTATTGTATTTATTAACAAATAGACTTAAGTTTAAATTTACATGTCTGATTCATACATGACACATGTGCATATAGATCCACACAAGTCAAGGAGAAGTTCAAGCACTCGCAGAAGTGGCAGGTAGTGCAGAGGGTGCCAGCGTTGCTGTTGATCTAAATAGTGTTACCGAGGCAACGTTAGGTCAAGATGGACAAATCATCCTTACGGGAGAAGATGGACACGGTAAAACAATTTTCTATAGGCTCTGCACAGTCGCCGGCCAGGAACTACTAGAACAGTGATTTGTTTTTACTAGACCCAGATACTTTTATTGTTTTTTTGCATGCTGTCTGTTGAGAGCTCCACCACCAATTCAAAAACAACATTTACAAATCTTTATTATTATTACGTATAGTGAAAGTAGATATTTTTTCGATTAATTATTGTTTTTATGATTATTACTACTGTATATATATATATTATATATATATAAAGATATATATGATATATCTATATATCTTTATTTTGGAGCTATGATGCACAGCGTTATTTTAATTCATCTTTAAGAATCCATGATACACAAATATTT